CAGAATTTTCTTCCTTAGCATATATGTTCCTCTCTCATAAATCTGGGGTAGGACCGTCAAAAGCACCTAATTCTCAACGACTTTCAATGGGACTTGAGCTCTTCAGATCACTTATGTGCTTTTAAGACTTCTACTTCAGACCCTCAGAAGGTTCACCTTGGAGGGTTCCACCCCTCCATCACCTGAGGGTAAATCTCCACCAGCTGATTCACTCCCAAAGATATGACAGACTGATGGGTGTAACAGCAAAAACAGAGGCTGGTAAGAGTTACAGGGTTCAGGCCAAGATCTAAAAAGGAGGTGCTGAAAGTGAGACTCCTATACCTTTATTTAAGTTCTATGTCTCTCTGTCTCTGTTCCTTATGTATAAAATGAGAAACAAAGCACTCCCCTATGTCAAAAGGGTGAAGATGAACATGTTAAAAATTGGCAGGTGCTCAGATATTGCAGTGATGAGGCCCACATGAATACCTGAAGCAACTGTACTTCATAAATGTAAAAGCCTATCATGTAAAAGCCTAAGATCTCCAAATTTAAGTCCCACATAAATATGGGATAAATTTCCCTCTTTCTGGCTGCAAAGAAGCAGTCTGTTTATGTACCAATGTGCACACCCCAAAGTAAGTATCTAGCTCTCTGTTGGCACATAAAACAGTGATGATACCTAGCTCTTAAGCTGTACTTGTCAAAGCACTGGACTAAGGTGGTCAGTATCATTATTCCTATATTACAGAGAAAGAAACTGAGGTACAAAGTAGGAGTGTGAGAGACTTTCCCAACATTACTCAGCAGACAAGGGACTAGACAGACCAGAAGGCAAGTGTCCTGAGTCCCAATCTAATGCTCTGTCTACTAGGCTGTGCTGGTACCCAAAATATCTAACTAAAAGTTAACCTTTCCCTTAATTTTTAGGCTTTGCCTGTGTCATGCTGTCAAATCCACTGTGATGACCATAATGCACCACTGTGGACTATCCCAAGTACTGTGGAAATCCTACAGAATAGAACAGGTGGCTCGTCTATAGGAAACACTGATAAATATGTTTCCACTAAATAGACAGTTTTTACTTGATTTCCAACTCCAAAACAGGCTCTTAAGCAAGCTTTAAATGGCATTTAAAAGCTATAGGTCACAGAGAATTATGTCCTTTGCATTTTGCTACACAAATACAACTATTATGAGAATGGATTATTTTTCCTGTGAAGGATTTTGACTAGTCCTTTTCTTTTCTTGTCTAAGTTTTCCTTAAGAATTTTTCATGTTTCAGTTGAAAAAAAGTTTTGGTTGCCAACAGCCTTAATTTTTTTCCACAAAAGTTTCTATTTCATTTGAAATGCCCTTTACCTTGGAAGTCTTGAAAGACAATTTTTGACACGCTGAAAAAAAACTGACTTCAGGCACTACGAACAGGCCAGTAGACCTTTGCAAAGAAGGGATTTCCACAAAGGCTTTGGAAAGGAGCACCCAGACTGAGTCAATTCCTGCATCTCCTAAATGCTGAGCTGAAACCTAGTCACAGGAGACTAAAAAGCAACTCCTGCCTCTAGCAGGCACAGAACTCCATAAACTCAGTGAAATCTGTGCAGTTTTGCTGTATGATAGAGAAAAGAGGAAGTGGAAGATTACTTGTAAATACAAGTACTATCCTGCAGTGGAAGAAAAAACTAGTCTAGTAGGGGTGCACGTGTGGACACCGAGATGTTTATTGGACAGCTAATTAGTCTACTGTTCAGTAAACGTGTCGTGTAGACATGCCCACAGAGTGCTTTATGCCATATATGTATACGGCTTGAATCCTTGGTTAGACCCAAACCCATTTGTCTATATCTCAACTGCAGTGATTCTCAACCAGGGTGCATTGGGATCCTTTCAAGGGTGCCACATAATGTTAACACTGTTAGGTTAGCTCTATTACGGGTGCAAACATGATTGACAAGATAAACCCAGAGATGTCAAATAGGAATCCATAGTGCCAAAATCATTCAGACCTGTTGTGGTCTTTCTGTGTTCTTAGCAACAGAAGGATTGTTCTACTATTTTTCCTCTAGTCAAAAATTGAGTGAAAACTCAGGGCTGGCATCTTCTGAGGGGTGCTCTGAGCCTTTTGAGGGGTGCCTCGAATCTAAAAATGTTGAGAACCACTATTATAATGCAATATAAATAAACAGAGCAAAAGTAATTGAGAGAAGTTGACACTGCTAAGTATTACTCCCCTCTTAATGAAATAGTTTGCCATAAAGAGGAACACTTGGTGAAAATACCATTTTATCACATAACTTAATTAAATAGAATAAAGTAATTGTGGATGCCTCCATTGTGTGAATCAGCCAGAAGTTAACCACTTCTTAGAGCATTAAGGAATAAGCTAGTCCCTGAAAGGCTCCAGACCTGAGAAGACCAGACAGCTTTAGCTCATTAAGCTGCTAAGAGGCAAATCTACGAGGTGTGCCTCTTAAATGGGAGAAACAATCAAAAGAAATCAGAGGCACTCTTATATTGTCTTATCCTAAACCAACAGGACTATATCAGAATTCAGGGAAAGCTTTCTTTCTGAAGGTCTGGGGAACAGATGAACTCAGGAAAACATACAACTTTTCAGAACAGAAGCAAAGTTGTATCAATAAAAACAGAGGCAAACAAATGGAGTGAAGGTATTTTTGGAGAAGAAAAGTAAGCAGACATTAAGGTAAGGACTGAAGTTCCCAAAAGTGTTTTTTTCTTGCCACTGACATTAGAATTATACACCCTGGAGAGAAAGGATGACCACAGAACTCCTACCTGTTTCTTCTTTGCTGGCTTGAAACAATCTGGATGTGCCGTGGCTCTAAATACAAAAATGAAAATCAACTGAAATGCTTAAGTAAAATACTATCATAATAAAAACAGTAAGGACAAGACTTAACCTCTAGCAGAAATGCTCCACATATTTTACTCTATCACTCTACAGCCTTGGGCAAGCGTTGTTTTATTTCGCAGTCTTGTTTTAAACTAATGGCAAGAGGTGGCAGTGTTTTCAACTTTCTGACTGAACTTCTCTTTTTATTCATAGAACAAGTGCAATATGGACAGTAGCTATGCAAAACCTGCTACTGGTACCACCATCAGTATATGCCTCAACTTTGAGTATGAGGAAAAGGGTAGAGCATTCAGCCTACAAAGATCATTTCAGCCTGTGACCTTTTCTCCAAGATGGTCAACCAAGGATGACTGTCAGCTCCTTTGCCAAATGAACTAGAATGTCTAAATTTACACATTGCTCCTTCTCCTGTTTCTCATCAATATACCCTCCTGACTGGGTATGCCCCGGTGCCCCTCTGGAGACAGATTCAAGAGGATATTTCTAAACAGGAAAGCTCAAACTAATGCAGAAAAGGTAACATCAGAGACTGTTTTCTGTCTCTGAAACTCTTCAAAGGTAACTATCTTTTGCTTCACAAAAGTGAAAATTAATCAGTAAAACCTTTAGCCTCAGAGCCTTTCCTGGGTATTAGGTGTTTATAAAGGAAGCTGCCATTCCTATCAGTGGATATTTGGCTACAAACAGATGCTGCATTTGTCTTGGGAGAAACCATTTTTTCTGGGGACAAAGCACAGCCAGATGTTCATGCTTGTTGTCCCAGAAGAAACCCTAAAAACGTTCCCAGGATACAAAGGTTTGTCCCATGATACTGCAAAGAGCCTCTGAACAGTTGTCCTGGGACTGTATCATTGAATCAACAGCAGAGAAGTGGCAGTGCATTCAGCAGCTCACTATAGCCTAACTGGAAGGAGGATGTGTCCTCACACCAATCTTGCAACTTTTGTTCCAGGACAAACACAGGCACTAGTCCTGGGACAAATGTACCAGCTGTTCTTAGCCTCTTCTGACAGAGTTAAACAACAATTATTTCTTGCCACAATATAGTTTTCATTTATTGTGGGTGGTCTGTTGGTTAAAGGGACAATAGCACCTCTACAATTTCCTCCAGTTAAAAAGGAACAGGTAGTAACTGCAGACCTATAGTTTCTACACAGAGAAGCTGAGACAAACAAGGTTGTTTGCGATAGACTGTGTCTCTTTTTCCAGAATATAAATATCACTCTTATTTTAAGCTAAATCTCCAAACATAAATTAACAAGAACAGGTTTAATGTTCCACTTGAAACCGAACATTACTTTTCACACATCCTCTGCAGGAGCAATGTGAGAGGTGACAGACTATTGTTGCCACACATGAAACTCCACTCAGAAAGGGTCAGGATGGCAACTTCCATGCCCAAGAAGACAGCTCAAGAAAACAATTATTTTACTAGTTCCTCTCCTCCCCCCCAAAATAAATGAAACCCACCCACAGGTGCTGTTTAGGTGAAAGCATTCATTATGTGCCAAATACTGCACTTTCCTACCACAAAAGTCACCATCAGTTTTCAAACCCTGATTATCAGGATATCAGTTTTAACACAGTCATACAGAAATAACCTAAAATGCACCAGAAGGTATGCACAGCCATTCATAGTGCAGAACCCTCTAATGCCCGGAGAATTATGTAAGAAAGTTCCATGAGTTATTGGAAACTGTGCACACCAATGTATTAACTAAAGCTTTCCCAATGTTCTCTACCATAAGTGCAAAGACAAAGCAAGTGCTACAGGGTTCCACTTCCTGTACTCAGACCCCACTCTGCTGCAAAAAGGAAGGTAGGAGTAAAGAAACGAAGAGCTTCTGTACTACCTTCTCCTCCGCCACCCACTCAATAGCAGTGTAATGCTAAGCATGCTAAATTGCCCTGTGGTACCACTTTCAAATGAAGGCCACGTCAAGGTGGGGAGGAAGGGGGACTGGAACCGACGATCTCACAAGGTCCCTTCCAGCCCTAAACTTCTGTGAATCTGTGTGAAGCAAGAGGTAAGAGCAAGCACAGAATCAGAACAAAGGGGTGAGAGAAGCCCTGTGGTGGTCCCCACATGCTTCAAATTTTTGGCTCAACTCCAGCTGCCAACATCTAGAATTGCAGACTATCCCTGTCCTCCCCAGGTTTGAGGAACCTGAGTAGCCAGGGCAATAAAGGAACTGATTCCATCTTGAATGCCCCCCTTCCCCATCCAGGTCACCTAACATCAAGTCCTGTCAGTTGTGTGAGAGACTTGTGAGGGATGTGGCAGCCAGGCAGCAACAGGTCTGTGAACCGGGCATTTGAGCCGAGGAAGTAAGAGCCAAGGGAAAGGAGGCGAAATGACAGGAAGACTAGAGAAGTATGCTCTAATGTCTTGTGGGGACAACATGCTGCCTCCCCATGTCCTGATCAGAAAACCATATGATGAGGCTCGTTTCTGCTCAGATTTGATATCCATCAGTATCAGTGTAACTATTAGCACATACAGTGAAATCAGATGAAGGCCTTTAAAATCTGAGGTAATTTTTACTATTTAAACTTGATCCAAACTTTCTCTCTTCAGTGGCTCAAATCAAATTTCTAGAATCACGCAACCCTGAATAGTAACGTTTGCCATCTAAATCCACACCTTCCAAAATGTTGGGGTATTTGGTGCTCAGATTTAGAAATACCGTAAACTTCAGCTTTGCAGCTCATCCAGGATCTGAGGTCTGCATTCAGACTCATCTCTAGTCTACAAATACCATATATGCTGTAGTCAGTGTATATCAGCAAATGAAAACCAAAGAAGTTGCACAATAGTAAGATACAGATCTTGTTGTTTACATTGCAACTTACAGGAAATGGCAATCCTCATCTGTTTCTGGGTGAGCAAAGACCACACTTACATCGAACAAGCTCTAAGTCAAAAAAGAAAGATAATCTGTCAGCCGAATCTGCAGCAACTTCTTTCACAAAAACTTACTGAAATATAGGGAAACAGCAGGAAGGGAGGAGAGGAAGAATATGATGCAACTGAAATGGGAAACTGTTAAATGGGTCACTGAGAAGCTATTTCAGCCCTACATCATGACAACATTTTATATTTCTAGAGGACCTAAAGACCTTATAACTACTTTACAGGCATCACTAACTGGAGTCTCAAACAGGCATCAGTCCCATTTTGCACACAGGAGAACCAAGTCAGAGACAGTAACTACCTATTATGGTCACTAAGCTTAACAAATCATGGAAAAATTCCATCCCAGTCATTTTTATGAAAAGTTTATTCAGGGATTTAGTTTGCAGTGACTGGATGCCTTTGAGGCAAAGGCGCTGCAGCCTAGCAGGCAGACAACAGTGCCAGGAACTCCAGAGTAATCACAATTCCACCCCCAATTCCCTCTTTGCCCTTGGGCAAATACGGCTCATTACCTCTGTTATTCAGATACCAACATACCTCAAGAGGGCTGTTGAGAAGATTGGCTAATATTTAAGTGCTCTGGAAATATATGGGACTAAAAAAGTTACACTACAATACTTCTTGGAGTAGTTTAGTGTCTGTGGACTGTAATGCTTTTGCTGTCTTATATTTTAAGAAAGGTGTTTCTTTAAGTTTCCTTCAGTAGAACAGAGAGGTTCTCCATCCATGAAGGAAAAGAGAAGTAGTCTGCCCCTATTTAGGACTGTAGTTTCATGTGAGTTACCAGTTCCAGTTAGAGTGTGTGGGGGGGATGAGACTGGTGGTATGTGAGGGGGTGTGAGGAGAAGCTATGCAGATTATTTGGTTTTCCTGAAGATTTGTATTCCCACCTGTGATGCTCATATACTCAACTTGATGGCATTACTGTGTTTATCTATATGGACAAAGCATGATAACTTGTAAATGTTGCATCCGATTGGTTCACTTCAGGGAATATTCTTGGGATCAGTGACTATAATCTTACTGATTCTGGGAGAAATAGAGGATATGTGGAGCTACTGCTGTCCGTTTAGCAAAACCACAGCTGAAAAACTGTCTGCAGACAGAACAACTGGTTTGATCATATTAACAGTGCTCATGCTCCCAACAAAATTTAATATGTTGACCCCTCAAATTACTTCTTTCTCCACCCAAAAACTGGAACCCTTGGCATGCTGGAAAATGGGGATTCCTTCCCAAGACAGACTGATAGCTGCTGTACAGAGAGCCCCATAAATAGAAACAGCAGGAAGGGTGGCACCCAGCCAGCTTTTGGAGTATAACAGAGGAGTTCAAGGAAACCAATATACCCAACAAGCTTTGCCTACAGAAGTTATGAGGTATGTGAACCTATAGTACTTAGATTTGGTTAACCCCAAGCACCTTTTTCCTAGTGAAGATAAGACCGGTGAGACTTCTCCATCTCTAACCAGACTCCATCCACATTAGGAGCAGACGTTACACAAACTAAGGAAAACAATACTACTGGATTACTCATACTCCACCTTTCCATCAGCAGGAACACCCAGCTCCTCAGAGAACAGGGGATGAATAATCCATTTGTATGCTTCTTTCAGCTGAACAATGTCATCTTTTGCCAGTGAAAGTCCCTGTTTTCTGAATCACAAACAAACAAAATAACTTGCATAGGAATCAGTTAGAAACAACTGGACTTGCAACACTTCAGGTTAAGCACAAATAACCAATCACTAGCAAAAAACCTGGGTATAAAAAGAACAAAACCCTTAAGCATACCAAAGAAAGTGTGAAGGACACGGGAATGCAGTGTAATTTATTAATAGTGTTGCAAAAGATGTTTATATTGGGTTAAATTAACAGAGGTGTTAGGGGAAATAGGAAGGCAAAACAATGCCCCAGACAAAAAGCTTCTGAGTAAGCACTTCAAGGTGCATAAGATACACTGCTCAACCTATTAACTTAAGATCCTACTTTCCTGAGTTTAACCAAGGTAAACCGCTTATTTCGTCCTAATTTGACAATGCTTCTTTCACCAAAACCAGGACTATCTCCCCTTCAGAGGGCAGAATAAGTGTGAAGGGGATGGTCAGGAAAACAGACTCTCATATCAACAGGCCCATGCTGATGAACTGAAGATGTTGCCCTTTCCCATGCTGCAGCCCTTCTCCATGGCCCCATCTCACTACGGAGAAGGCCCTCGGTAGGTTGGGGACATGTTTGTAGACATTGTGCTCTAAAGTTTTCCCCTTTGGCAGCAGAATGAAGTTTGAACTCAGGATCCATTGCTCTAAGATTCTCTCTTTACCCTTATTCTTCCAGCTAATCTGTCTTCACAATTCACCAATGATCTGAAGCACCAAATTAATTTAACCTAGGGCCTAGTCCAAGAATGGGAGAATCCTATGGCTCTACCTAAGGGAATGCATGCGGAGAGACAAAGGTGCAGCTAATCCCCCAATGGAGACACATGGCATCTACTTAAACTGAGTTATTGCAGTATTGGTGGTACCCCAAATACTGAAGGGCAGGAGAAGTATCAAATCTGCTGATGACACTAAGATGTGGGGGGATGTGGGCATGCTAGAAGGAAGGAAAAGGCTACAATCAGACCTAGACAGGTTACAGGGGTGGGCGGATGAGAATAGGATGGGATTCAACACCGACAAGTGCAAGGTGATGCACCTGGGGAGGAAGAACCAGCACCATACCTACAGGCTGGGGAACTCCCTTCTTGTCAGTCCAGAGGCAGAAAAGGATCTTGGAGTCATCATTGATGCCAAGATGAACATGGGCCGGCAGTGTGAGGATGCAGTCAGGAAGGCCAACCGCACCCTATCATGCATCCATAGATGCATCTTGAGCAGGTCCAAGGAAGTGATCCTCCCCCTCTATGCGGCACTGGTCAGGCCGCAGCTGGAGTACTGCATCCAGTTCTGGGTGCCGCACTTCAGGAGGGATGTGGACAACATGGAGAGGGTCCAGAGGAGGGCCACTCACATGATTGGGGGCAGCAGGGCAGGCGCTACGAGGAGAGGCTACGGGACCTGAACCTATTCAGCCTCCACAAGAGAAGGCTGAGGGGGATCTACAAACTACAAACTGTGGACTGTTACAAACTAGTCAGAGGGGACCAGCAGGCATTGGGGGAGTCCCTGTTCCCCCAAGCACTCCCAGGAGTGACAAGAAATAACAGTCACAAGCTGGCAGAGGGTAGATTTAGGCTAGATATCAGGAGGCGCTACTTCACGGTCAGGGCAGCTAGGATCTGGAACCA